CTAACTGGAGATTATACATACAAAGACCAATTTAAGCTTAAACAAGAATAAAACATTAAATTTACATCCCTGAGTATTAATAAAATTCAACTATGTATTATTCAATATTTTTATTATATTTTTTAATAAAAAGTTTCTTGAATGTAGATGCTTTTCTTTGCCATTTCTTCATCTGGTCTTTGACCTCTAGGCTTTTCAAGATGAACACTATCATTATGCTTCACAATCTGAAATTGAAAACAAATTAAAATTACATTTGATTATAAAAGCATGGAAAAATAGTATATTAAAGCATATTTAATTAAAAGAAAGAAGGCACTGATAAAAATGGATGGCAAGTAAAACAATAGGGAAACTAAATTACCAAATGGCCATAGTGAGTGTGATCAGAATAATCTCATATTTGGTACAATACACACAACATTTACAATAAGAGAAAGGCATAACAAAATACACACTGGAAAATATGAAGCAGCAGTAAAACAAAAAAAAAAGAAATTTGGAAAAAACATAAATGATTATAATAATAAACGGACGTAAGACCTAACGGAAAATACTGTTCTATTGTTGGGGATTCCCCCAACAATACAAATACCTAGACAGGTCCGGACAATTTATAATTTGAAATGCTTATTTAATTAATTTTATAGTCGCATATTCTGTAAAAACTTTACTGAAGGCTGTTTCCTCCCCGACAATGGTTTTTCTCCTTTACGAGAGGTAGAGTTTCTATATAGAAAGAGTTGCGACATGAGCAGTTAAGGTCACGTGACTACTGGACGCCCTCAATCTGTCATCTTGGGGCCAATTGATCAAGTCAGTGGTGCGTAACAAACAAAAATAAAATAAGGTTTGAGGCTAAATTATTGTACTTGTGTTATTTAAAAATCCATAACTTCGTATCGAAGGATCGTATCAGATTAATTTTTTCTGGAAATGTTCTTAAAAGACTATTCTACACCACTATATGATTGAAAATATGTTTCGACCTCTGAACTCAAGATGGGAAAAGAAGAGCCTATCTAAATAGTGTATTAAAATGGCCTCTCCAGCATGCACGGTACGTAGGTAGGTAGCACTACTACTACTATACTAGACTAGCTAGTAGTGTAGTAGTATTTCGGTTACCGTTTAATTTCTGTTATTATATACTACTAGTTATTTTGGAGATGCCCTTGGACTGAGGCGTGCCACAACACCCGTTTACTACTTATTCATACGAATTTCTAAGTTGTCCAGTGAAGAGGCCTAGGCTCTGTTGCCTACTATTTTATGAACCGGACGGACAAGCGTGATGTTGTGTACGGCAGCAAAGTAAAGGCGCTATGCTATTTTGGTAAAAAAAAACAAAAAAAAACAAAAAACTACATGTAGTATTAATAATTAATAATAGCATATTGAGAATCAATTTTTAAAAAATTACAGTACTGTCAAATGACATAAAATTTTTGTATTAATATTTTTATTTGTTTTTTCCGATTGCTATGCGATCGCCACACTACAGTTACTGTAGATAGGCTTTGCGTTCACTCATGCATGAAATTATGCAGTACCCCAAAATGAACGAGAGTTCCTGGCACCCGCCCCCATCACCATTATAAGGAATCTTTTTTGTGATTATATACGGTAACATATACTTTGTAGGATCATTTGCTTCATTTATATGTATGTCTTTCTTGAACTAAAATTAAATAAAGCAATTCCTACCTTGTCCTTAGGCCACATTGTTTGTGTTCTGCAGAGTTCTCCACCTGCTCTCCTTTTCATGTATTTTAATTGGTGTAACTGAAATAAATGAAATGCCAGAAATTGTACTGAATTCAAATAAGCAAATCATATATTATCATTATATCAGTATTTCTTATTCATATTATTCATATTATTATTATTATTATTATTATTATTATTATTATTATTATTATTATCATTATTATTATTATTACTATTATTCCATGTAAAGTGCATAGAGGCACTGCGCAATATGCGCTATATAAATGTAGCTTAAGCTCGTATTCATTTATGAAACTTTTTTTTTTTCCAAAATAAGTAATATTTAAAACGGATTTTTAATAGAGGCCAACGAATCCCCGGGAGTCGGACCAGGTCGGACCTCTAATCTTTGATAATACCCAGTATAATATTCTTTTATGATTGAGGGCGCTTCGCAGGGTGAACATGTGCTGCTTTTACCACCACCTCTCTGTAAATCCATGGAGATTTAAGTGAACGATAATATAATGTCTCCATGGTAAATCACAGTAAAATATCTCTTTAGTTGTGGCTTTCACTCTATTTCTGACTTATTTGGACAAGGAATTTTTTTAGTACGAAATGTGCTGAAAAATCTGTAAGTAGTCTTGAACAAATTGAAAATTACAGTTGCTTCTGCCATGCCTAGCTAGTAGAGGAGGGCCCAATAATACTGTAAGCTGAACCAGCTGGGGACAGAAGCACTCTTGCTGGCCAGTCGGCATTGGCCTAGGTTCACAAAGCATTAGAAGGCCTTGAGAGGTTGTAGAGGCCTAGCCTACTGCGAAATACATTTGTCATATATTATTAGGATTTGGCCAAAGCATAATTTTTGCGCAAAATTTGGCGTGGCGTGAAAATCGGCCCGGCCTTATTTTCCGAAATGCGCGGACGGATTTCTTAATCTAGACCTAAGAAGAAGGGCACATATAAAAAAATATTCGATTTAATATCACCCTTTTTTCTATGTGCCTTAATGATTGCACGGAGGATTCCGTGACATGCGCAGGCCTTACTTTATTTACAGTCTGGTTCTAGTGTATACAATTGCTTGAAATGGCATCAAATAAAACACCTCTGAGTAGTCCTAGACAGGGAATTTTTGCAATTTATCTATATATTTGGTATTCTATATGAAATATATAAATAAATATTTTAAATAATAGGAACATACAGCACTCAATTATATTATAATATATGCAGGGTGTGAATATTGAAAAAGGCACTTAACAAACACCTACTTAAAAAAAAAAAACTTTGCATATCAACCTGCCATAGCATATTCATATATATATATATATAAAACAAGACTAAATAACCCTATTGCTGACTTACATATATAATCTATTTTACAGGTATGATTTCATTGCTAGATGTGGCTTCAAAGTGATTGATTCACCTGATATTAATATAATAATCTTTTTTTAATTAAATTATATACCAGTATTATATTTACATATTATACTCTATGATAGCATATATTTCAACAATTATTTTAGTTAATTTTTTACATTTTTTATCTCTTACAGATATGAAGAGAAGAGTTGACTGAAAGATACAAGATACTAATGAACAACATTCAACCACAATGAAAAATATATTTTATATTATATAATGTATCGCCATCTAGTGTGAACTGTGAACCCATCTCCAAGAAGCCGAGATGCTTTTTAGATTTATTTGAATGTAATCAAAGTATCAGAAACGTGTAACAGTACAGTAATTCAAATACGTAATTGACTGATGAATTAGATAGGCCTATGGTATATGTATTAATAAATTTATTCTGTATGCTGGCAAAGAATGGTACAGAGACAAGAAGACTGGAGGTAAGTGGGGTGGTTATTTACTTAAAGATCTTATAACAAAATAGCACTCTCACCTATTTGTAAGCGTAATGCATTAGAGACTCGTAAAACTGCACCTTCTGCAAATAATAATACAAAGCAAAACTTATTTAGTGTACTGAATTTTATATATGAATTATCGGATCCGTTTAGGCCTTACAGGCCTGATCAGTGCAGCAAGGGTACAGACCCTGGCGAAACGTTAGACGAGCTTAGCAGAGCTCAGGCCAGCCCCACTTGGACCACAAAGCCAAACCAAGGCAACATGTACATACAGGCCAGGTGTGATTGCAAATAAGTTGAATTTGCGAAAGTCGAGTCCAAAGTGACATTGGAAAAATTGTTCGATTTGGATAAAATTTTACTTGCAGATTGTTAAACAATGGAAAACACAACAATTTGGCATGTACAATAAGATCAACTTAAAAATTACTGTATTCAACTTAGGCAAGTTTAACTGTTAGTTTAATAGGCAAATGGAATAAATCCCAAAAAAACCCACAAAAAAAACCACAAATGACCACATAATGCAAAACAATTTAAACGTGTGTGTATATATATATAATATATATATATATAAAAAATCTAAACCATCTTGTGAAATGCTATAATGTATAAACAAATAAATAATAGGTGCTCTGATAAGAACATAAGATGTTATATAATCGTATTAATGGAACAAAGCATCTACATTAATTCTTCACACATGCGCAGAACTAGTCCTTAATGCATGGACTAAGATCAGCGCGATACACCCTCTTATAAACATTGATGACAATTGACAAGATTTCTGAAGAGATACTTTCATCATAAATACTGTAAACCATAATGAAGACCTCTATAACCTTATTGTGGTAATGCTAAAATATATGTATATAATGAATACATTTTAAACGTTATAGTAGAGGAATTTGAGAGAGTGAAAAAGATGTGCCCCAACTGGGATTCAAACAAATATACAGTACAAGAGGCCATTTTTTACTGAGAAAATTGCCCTAACTATATACAGTTGAACTTGCCCAAGTCAAATCCAAAATACCATTGAAAACTTGTTCGACTCACAGATTGTTAATTAATGGAAAACACAACAATTTGGCATGTAAAATAAGTTCGACTTCAAATTTTGAGTTGGGCAAATTCGAAAGTATAGAGGGTGCTTTTTGAAAGACTAAGGACACCCTGTATACCGTATATAATTTTTTTTTTACAGGTACGATTTCACTGCTAGATGTGGATTCAAGATGAATGCAAGATTCACCTGATAATGATTACGGTACAGTAATACCATAATATTTTTTTTTTCATATAAAAATATATATACCAGTAACATTTACATATTATACTGTATGATATAGCATTTATTTCAACAATTATTTTAGTTAATTTTTTACATTTTTTATCTTGCAGATATGAAGAGAAGAGTTGACTGAAAGATACAGGAAACTAATGTTTTAATGTTATTCAACCACAATGAAAAATATATTTTATATTATAATAATCATAAAAAAATGAAGTCAACGCTCTGTAACGCCATCTACTGTGAACCCATCTGCAAGAAGCCGAGATGCTATTAAGATTTATTTTAAATGTAATCAAAGTATTAGAAATGTATCAGTAATGTCAACATATGAAGACAATATCTTTAATACAGTACAGTAATTCAAATACGTAATTGATTGATGAATTAGATAGGCCTATGGTATATGTATTAATAAATTTATGCTGTATGCCGGCAAAGAATGGTACAGAGACAAGAAGACTGGAGGTAAGTGGGTTGGTTATTTACTCAAAGATCTTATAACAAAATAAAAAATAGCGCTCTCACCTATTTGTAAGCGTAATGCATGAAAGACTCGTAAAACTGCCCCTTCTGCAAAAAATCATACAAAGCAAAACTTATTTACTGTACTGAATTTTATATATGGCGCTCCCTCCAAAAACCTATCTGTACTCGGGAAGGGGGGGGGGGCAAAATTTTCAAGGAACTGGGAAAGAAATTGAAAAGCCAAATTTGTTTTACTAAATTTTATATAGCCCTCCCTTAAAAAAATGAAAAATGCAAAGCCAAATTAGTTTACTGAGTTTTATATAGAGTTCATTACAAAAACCTTATTTGTACACATGCACTAAAATCTTTCATTGACAATCTGAGAAAAAGTGACTGAAACTTTCATAAAACTGCTCCCTGTGCAAAGAAATGTGTACGAAGCCAATTTTGTTTACTAAATTAAGATATGGTTCCTCCAATAATTTGTTAGTTGGATAATTAATGGGAAATTTCATGAGACTGCCAAAAAATTGTCTACTTTATTTTATATAGCGCTCCCTCCAAAAGTTATTTGTACGCATAATGAAATCCGAACTGCATGTTGCAAAAATATATTGCGAGTTTGTTACAAGATCTTTGAGCTACATTGCATTAGGTGCCCCTAAATTAAATGAGGGCGCTGTTGACGATAAAGAGCGCCCTCTATGGAGAAAGAGCACTTTAACGTGAGCAGTGCCTCATTTGATTTGGGGGCGCTATTTAATGCAGGAACCCTCTAAATAAAATGAGGGATTTTATTTAGGCGGTATATTAAAAAAATTGTAATGATGCAAGGAACAAATAAAGGCAAGAGAATTTGAATCAATTTTGTGTTGTATTTATTCGATTGTAGCAAACTCCTTACAAAAAAAAAAAAAAAAATGCACTTCTCCGCAACCCCTGCAGCCCCCACCAACGGGTTCACCTGACTCGGCTACACAGCAAGTACTACCTCAAGTCATGCCCACTACCACTGCCAAGCAGCAAGAGTGCCCGAAGAAACCTGCAAAGTTCTCAATACAAGCTACAAGTCCAATGTAAATTACAAGATGAGTAAAATACCTGTGAGAACCCTATACCCAAGATGGACGACAACCCACGCAAGATCGCCAACCCTCTTCCCACTCTTTGCCAAGGATAGGGATTATATTTATAATAATTAAATGATTAGTATTGAAGAACTTCCAAATATGAATGACTTTCAAATTAGATTAAATTTAGCATTACTAAAGTTACTAAATAATTATTTAAATGAATTAACATTTTATTAAATTAACATTATTGGTATAGATTGGCTGCTTAAAAATTAATTTGTTAGAATTACCTTAATACAATTTTTAAATTAAATAAAAAATTTAAGTTAGATTTTTTTGAAAAGCTTTAAATAAATTGGTTTTGCATATATTTTAAATATTTTAACACAAGCATTAAATAATATTAATTAAAAAATTTAAGTTATATTTTTATTAAAAGCTTTAAATAATTTGGAAACAAATTTAGAGTATATTTATGATCAAATTCCGTATCAAAAACTATGAGACTTAAACTGGCGTCAGGATATAAATTTACAAGTGCTTTTGGATGCCTAGATTACACTCAGGAAACAACATTAACTGTGCAGTACAGAACTAAATTTGGTTGCAAACAATTTGATATGGTTGGCACCTCTGGTAATACTAAACCTAAGCATCGTGTTCTGAACAGCAGCTCTTCAGCCATACCCTGCCTGAATCGATAGCTCTTCATATCACTGCTGGCACCAAATATTGCTAATTATAGGAGAAGTCATATTTATCTATTAATTATTTAGTAAATAAATTAGTGTCAAGTATAATTCTATCTTAAAATATCCTATTAAAATATATTAATTCTATTACAATCATCCTGTTTTCAAACTATAATGTTTAAAATCTAGTTAAAAAATTTTAAAAAATTATTAATTTCTTTTCTTTAATGTTTGTATTTATCATTATTTTATCTTCAAATCTTAGGACAAACTTTTAAAATGACTTAGATGGGGTAAGGTTTTTGTTTATTAAGGTCTATATTTATATTGATTAAATGCTGTGTATATATGATGTACTTTACCAAAGCAGAATTTTTGAAAGGATATAAATATTAGAATTTTTAATTACAGTATTTATTTGAATAAACGCCCCACTTTGAATAAATGCCCCTCCAGAGCCTCGTCTGCAATCATAAGTACCTCCCTCAAATTTTTCTAACTGGGTTAGAATTGATAAATCGTTATCATCATGCAATAACACGTTTTGACTGTATCCATATGTTGTTGTTCCACATTTACTGAGAAATTAAGAGGCGTTTATTCGAATAAACTGTATATAACTTTTAAAGAAAGTATTTTTATTATGTTATTAGATTTTTTCATTATGTTTTACTTTTTAGTGTACAGGTTCATAGTATACTATTATTATTTTTATTAACATTTCCACTTCAATAGTTTTGTTTAAAATTTATGTTTATGTTTTATTAAAATCATGATTATTTTAGTACTTACATATTTTGAATATTTAATATTTTGAACTGTTTAATTGAAGAAATTTGATCTGTAAGTTTACAAATTCTTTTATGTTACATGGGTAGATTACATAAAACTGTTTTTGTTTTCTATTTATCTGAATTCCAAGTGCATTATAAGCAAATGTCAATATGTACTATAAAGCAACTTGACCATTTAACTGCTCAGGTTACAATTATTATGTTAGATGTAATTAAATTTAAACGTTTAAATTAAATTTATTTACTTTTGTTCTGTGCAGCAGAACTCACTCTGATTAGAGTGACAATTTATACATAATTTCAACTTGAAACTACTACTACTTAATTGCAAGACCTCTCATGTGCATCAGGCCTAATCAGTAATTTGTTGTCTCATCGAAGTGTGACGCATCATTGTAAAAAATGAATGTGGTATAAAAAGGTAGGCTTTTCTACTGTGGATTGTCAACTTGTTGGGGCGAAAAGGGAAGAAGCTCGTGAGCCTAGGCCTAGCAGCTAGCCTATTATGGTGTACTTAAACCCATTAAAGAGTAAATTTTAATATTAGGATGTATTTTATGTCTATCGATTATTAGTATTGATCCCTGTCTATGAATATCAATGAACATCTACCGAATACGCCCCTCTGAACCTACCGAATCAAGTTGAACAAATAAATTGGAAACCTTCGTCGTTGTTGTAACACCTTAGTCTGGTATTTTTTTTAAAGAGGGCGACATTGATTGATAATACAGAGTATAATTATAGGCCCCTAATATATGATACTAGCCTACACTGTTTCCATTTTTTATCTTTTCTTGATTTTAATAAATTATTTTTATTCTATCATCTGTGGTGTATCTACCCAAAAAGCTTCCCCTGCTCATCCCTCATTCGACTTGATTTGATTTTGATTTGAATTTATTTAGCCAGCAGAGTAAAATACAAAAATAAGGAAGACAAGACAAGGTCAATACAATTATTGAATACTCTGAAAGCAAGGAATAGCCCAAAATTTTTTAAAAGAAACGTATTTCCATTGGGACCTGCGAACGAAACATTCAAGTGCAAAAAGGTACAGGAAAGGGATCAACACAAAGCTAAAAGGGATTATATTTACAATTTTAAAAGTTAACATTAGCTCAACCTGCCCTCGATAAACTAACATTACGTTATCTCACTATATTAATTGGATTAACACATTATCCTTGGATTCAATTATAGGTAAACGGATTAGTTGCCTTTTTTATGAGGTTTTAATTGTTCTTTACCGCCGAAAGTGGGGTATTCTAACGTTAGTTTAAGGAGGGCTGGTCGGCCTAATGATAATTTGTGAATTTAATTTACTTTTAAATATTTGCTTTGGTAGAGCACATCACACAAACACAAAAGACTGTATAATATTGATTATTGAATGGGTGATGTTGAATATGTATAGCTAATGTAACAAGAAATTTGGTTACTATTATTATTATTTTTTTAATTATAATTAAAGACTTCTCCTTGATTATGTTTAAAACTATTTCCAATACATACACTATCTAAAGAGTAACAGCCTAACTTTACTTTTAAAATGTTATTGTCAAAATATTAAATTCATTTGTGTGTGTTTATGTTAGTTTTGTAATATGATTGCTCATATAAGGATGTCATATTATATCATCATGCCCTTATATGGGCAACAAATTATTAATGCAAGTATTATTTCTAGATTGATTTGTGTTAATTAAAATATAAGTTAATTTCATATCAAATTATATTTTTAAATGATTTTATACATCTATTCTGTCTTCTATTTTAATTTGTTTAAGGATACAGACACCTTTAAGGTTTGTGCACAAAGAAGTTAATTCAAAATTGACTGGTTTAATTATTATTATTATGTTAAACCAAAGTTATAATTTAAAAATCATTTTATAATTTTTCAATTAATTAGAAATACTGAATTCAACTATGTGTGTGCGCCCTATTTACAAATATATTTTTTTATGCAAATAGAAATTTATTTTGATTAATTTAAAATATAATTTTGTAATTATATTAAAATTATCATTCTATTAAATTAATTGTATCTAAAGGGTTAATATTTGAAATATTTATGTTCTGTAATCTTTTTAAAGTTATTCTTAATATTATCTAAATTGCTACACAATACATAGTGATTAACATTTGTTTAAAGATAATTTTAAAACATTTTGCTAAAAACCCTAAGTGCGTCTAATAATTTTTGAATAATATTATCATTATTTTTATTATTATTCCAAAGCCCATTACTAGATAAATATATATTAATAATAAATTATTGATATATCTTAAGTTAAATTTATATCAAGTTATAGTTTCTTAATGATTTTATACTTTTATTAAGTAATTAAAAATTACATTACTAGATAAATATATATTAATAATAAATTATTGATATATCTTAAGTTAAATTTATTTCAAGTTATAGTTTCTTAATGATTTTATACTTTTATTAAGTAATTAAAAATTGTATCTAAAGGGTTGATATTTGAAATATTTTTACATTTCAATATCTAAAATTATGTAGTATTTATGTTCTATAATATTTTTAAAGTTATTCTTAATATTATCTCTAATGCTACACAATACATAGTGATTAACGTTTGTTTAAAGTTAATTTTAAAACATTTTGCTAAAAACCCTAAGTGCGTCTAATAATTTTTGAATAATATTATCATTATTTTTATTATTATTCCAAAGCCCATTACTAGATAAATATATATTAATAATAAATTATTGATATATCTTAAGTTAAATTTATTTCAAGTTATAGTTTTTTTTATTGATTTTATACTTTTATTAGGTTAAAATAAAGTTAAAATGTTTATAGATATTTTACGCTTTTCAATTTATCCAAAATACTGTATTTAACAATGTGTGTTTTCTGTTTAATTTAAATATATTTTAATATGCAAATACAAATTTAATTTTAATCGATTAATCTAATATATAATTTTGTAATTATCATTATTATTTTTATTATATTATAAACAATTTGTTAATAATATATTATTTCTATGTTCTATCCTCTCTGTGATATATGTATTAACATATCAATAACTTATTCTTTCTATTAAATTAACATTATTATGTTCTAAAAGTTTTAATAATTTGAAACAAAAGAAAAACTATTTAAAACAATTGATACAGATTTAACATTTATTGCATATTTTAATTTCTAAACAATTTAAATTTTTTGATTAGGTGACACATTAGGTGATGAACTGTTTATGAGTGTTGTATTTATTGCAGTATTGAACAAATATATTTATACCACTACAAGTATTACTTGTTACTCTTTGTATTTAGAAGATTTACCTACCCTATTCATGCCAGAAGACAGCCTTTAATTAAAATATGTATAATTACATATTATATACAATTTATTGTACTATTATTTATTACATGATATTACTAATATCTCTATTATTATTCAATAATTTGGTGCCAACTCAAAAAAGCTACAATTCAGATACACATCGTGACAACAGAAGTACAACCTTGGCCCAGCTGGCATACTTTCCTAAACTTAGCGAAAAATATTAGCAGATATTGCCTAACCGCCAAAAGGAAAACAATATTCTTCTGCATACACTTAAAATGTCTCCTGAGGAAAATAACACGTTATTTTAGGAAAAAAAGACCACAAACTGAAACCAGGTATAATTTTTAGTTAACTCCTTGGCATTGAGCAGGTCGAACGTTTACACTGATGATGGTCTACCCACACAAGCTGACACCACGTCAGGAAAAGGATTCTCACAGACATTTTACCCACAAAGCAATTTACAAAGGA